GTGGGAAATCTGCAGTTGATTGGTCGACGTGAGTGCTGGTATGACCACTATTATTATTATAAAAAGATAATAAATAAATTACCGAAGTCATGATTCTTGGTCAGAGTCTGTCAGTTCCTACTTGAACTCCTGTAAAGAATTCAATCTTCTACCTTAGCATCACTTAATTTACACATCAATGTCCATGCTTGCTTTTAACTTTTGGGGGGGGGGGCTTGGAGGGGTTGGCGTTTGCTAAGTTTTCTCTGCCTTAGAAAATCTTTGCATGGATGTCCAGTTCTTCATGCTCAAGAACTCTTGCTGAATATCATTGGTCCGTCTTCTCTCATTTTGCACAATTGATTTGTTCCATGTTGATTTTCGTTTTCTTATATAATGGTAACTGTATTGTCCTCAGCACACAAAACTATGCTGGCATCTAGATTTACAAAATATCCTGTGAGTCCTAATGAACCTATTTACAATAATTCCAAAAACTCTAGTATTGACTCAGACTCTACCACAAAAAGTTATTTACTCCAGAAATGTAAAAACATAATGCAATCAAGCTTAATTTTCTGCTTAGAGTTAAATTATCCCTCAAAACACCTTGCATTCCTTTCTCTCCAAACTGTCCACCATATTGTGGCTGGTATGACCTTGCACTATAGTTCCAACAACTCAGCAATTCATGGGTGTTTCCTGGCATTAACCACTTCTTCTTTCCCAGATTTTCGTTTGTCTTTCATTAAGTGTCCATTTCAATTATGGTCTAATTTGTTTGAATTACGTGCTGTGTTGATCTTGACACTTGAAAGAGTTTAGCAAAAAATGCATTGTTGATTGCTATTCTATATATGGAACTTATTTCCATCTGTAAATTTGTGTTCTTAGTATGATGATCAAAGTTGATTGATCTTCTGTAATATTCTGGTGAATAGGACCCTTCTTGGCTATCTGTTAGTAGCCAGCAAAGAATGGAAAGATGTTCACATTTCAGCTCGATGCTTCAGAGTGGATCCTTCTGAACATCAGAAAAAGGAAGGTGTTAAATCCAGTGTTGAGATTTTTGGTGCTGGAGCAGTTGCTTGCTGTAATGTGGGGAGCGGCAAGAAGACACTAGCAATGTCCATCTGTAGAGAAAATTCAACACTGGAGTGCAAAACAATCAAGATGCTGCAGAAGTAATGTTCTTTATCCACATGCTGTTGGGTTTATTTATGAAATTTTATTTCTATTATACACTTTCTGCGGCTCATTTATTGATAAATAATCTGATACTTCTGGTGCGATGGGAGGAAGACACGTGAATTTTTTTCCATCAAATATATGCCAAAGCTGTTCTGTGCGTCTAATTTGTGTTTATATTTATAGGTGTGTCCATCAGGAGCCTTGGGACCATCATTCATATTACCTCCTTGTACTAAATTATCTTCAGAAGGCGCGGGAGAAGAAATTTCCTCGTAACCTGTGTGTTGTTCTTGAGAGGTTGATAAATGTGGCTCTTCGAAGTGAGCTTTATGCAAAAGATGAGATTTCTTCCCAGTACCAAAAGTTCCAGCTTCTGCTTTGTGCCGCAGAGGTTAGTTTGCATTGTGGGAATAATTTCAAGTGCATTATGCATGCAAAAAGTGCTCTAGAGATGCAGCTTCCAGATAACTACCTCTTCTTTGCACACTTGCTACTGTGTCGTGCCTATGCTGTCGAAGATAATTATTCAGGGCTTCATGAAGAGTACATAAGGTGCTTGGAGCTCAAAACTGATAATCATATTGGTTGGATTTGTCTTAAGTTTCTTGAAAGTCGATACAAGCTGCAGTCAGATTCCAGTTCACTAGCCTTGGCCTTTCAAGAGTGTGGCAAAGAAATAAAAACTTCGTGGAACATGTGGATTGCTATGTATAATTTGGTTCAAGGTCTAACTGCAGTTTGGAATGGGGAATTTATTGATGCAGAAGAGTCCCTTGCGCAAGCTTGCTTGTTGGCTGGTGGCGAGAGTTGCCTTTTTCTTAGCCATGGTAACATTTGCTGAACAATTGTAAAACTTACTCTAATATGCTTAAACTCTTACCTATTAACTGACTTTTTGGTAGAAGTGTATTTTCCCATTCAAAAGCTCTTCTATTTCTCTCTGCAGAACCCACCATAATAAGTGCCCAGGGGTTGCATTCCATCGTCTGCATTTTCTTCCATCTATATCCATCTTTCTTTCTTACCCTCTGTGTGTCTATTAAAGTCTGATGGTCTTTTTGGTCCGATTGGTAATGAGAATTTGATTATTCAGGTGTTATTTGCATGGAGATTGCCAGGCAGCAGTCCGATTCAGATTTTTTATCACTTGCTATTAGAAGTCTGAAGAAAGCAAAAGACAGTTCTTCAACGCCGCTACCCTTTGTCTCACTGCTATTGGCACAAGCAGAAGCTAGCCTCGGCTCTGAATCAAAGTGGGAAAAGAACCTCAATGAGGAATGGTCATCTTGGCGGCCAGGTTTGATATTTTGTCCTTTGATAATTCATATATATTTTATTTTGAGCAGTTAAGTTTCGACTGTGGTTGGCAACTTTGCTTGAGTCAATACCAAGTGCAATATCGAGTAGTGGGTCTTTCACAATCAGACTAACTGGACTACATACACACTAAGGTACTTGATTGTGGAAGGTTGCCGTGTAGCTGACCCTCTTAGTCCTTTAATGCTTTTATGTTTTAAATAAGATTTGAGTACTACAGGGGTTGAAAATTCTGACTGAAATTTCCACTTTCTTGTATAGTATTCGGCCAAGTTCCAATATATGCATCGGCATTTGAATTCCATTCCAGTTCCCTGTGTTTCTAGACATAGCTAATTACCTAATGTGATATGCAGGGGTGAGAGGGGGGGGGGGGGGGATATTTATACATGGAATATTTGGGAGCCACACAAAGAAACAACTATTGGAGTAAAACAGAAAAAAAAAGAAAAGAGAAGCCTATCCTCACAATTTGTGGCAAAATGATCAGTGTTGTCAACGGGGCACTTAAGCTCTGAAGCGACGCGCAAAGCGAGTTGGACACTTCACATCACTGAGACAGTGGTTAAGTGAAAGCACTACAGTTTTTCATTTTGGTGATCCTGTCACCAACTGCCCTTTTCACAGGGCAAGGTTAAAATGAGGTGTCTGGGTTTTGTTTTAAAGAAGAGATGACTAAGAGCCTGTTTGGATTGTCTTAAAAGTTGGTCAAACCTACTTTTAAGTCATTTTTAGCTTTTAGGAGTGTTTGGCAAAATTAAAAATGAACTTAAAATAAGTTAAAAATGACTCAAAAAAAAGTTAAAAGTTAAAAGTAGGTACTATTCTACTTTTCATTTTTTAACTTAAGAGTTACTGAAGTTTGACTTCTTTAAAAGCTACTTTTTTCAAGTTAAGCCAAACGGGCTCTAAATATTAAATATTACTTAACACGGCCTCTGTTTTAGGTGAGGTTCTATAGTTCGATGGTTACTTGTATTTTCATCTCCCCCCTCCCAGTAGCTATGAAAGATTTCTAAATATATTTCCTTCCTTCCATTTAGGGCACCCTAAAGGAAAAAGATATTAATAGTTAGCAAGATATTATGGGTCAATATATTAGTATAAGAAAAATGAATGGCCTTTGAATTAAGAAGGCTAAAATAGCATATTGCATTTGAGTTGGAGATTTAAATTTAAGATTGTCTTTTAACTTGATTGACATGGTTTCCTCTTCAGTTATTTCACGTACTTGCAGTTTTTTTTCAATTGCTCCACCCATATAATTGCACATATGTCAACATCTTGAGCGAGCTCCCAGTAGAACTTGGTGCTCTTCATCTTGACCAGACTGAGACTGACAGGGACTACCTATATTATGTATACCTTGTTCTTACTAGCAAAAAGACAGAAAGCTATTATTGTATTGTTACTCTTGCTGGTTTGTTTCCCCTGCTGCTCAGAAATAACAAATACTATCCAAATTTATTCGTGAGTGTCCGAATGGCTTATGCAGCTCATGCTTTGGCTTCATCATGTTTCTTGCAGAGATTAGGCCTGCTGAACTGTTTTTCCAGATGCATTTGCTTGCTAGACGGCTGACAGAAGGTTCTGGAGCTATATCCAATCTAGAGCCATCTACAAGTCCTCTAAGATGGATACTTCAAGCTATCCATATCAATCCATCTTGTTTGAGATATTGGAGAGCTTTGCTGAAATTTATGGAGTAATTTGCAAGCTCTGTGAACTCGTACAACAACTCAAATTCTGTCTTTTCTGCTACTGACTAGGCATTTCATTTTTCTGCTTTCCTTTTCAGAATCCGGCAAATATTATGGTTATATCTGCCTTATGCATAGTTTAATTTAGGATTCCATCTTTTTATTTGGTCATTTTAATTCTCCTTCCTTCTTTGCACTTCTTGATTCCGTCCTCGTAACGTGTATTTATCATATGTATAGTTATGCCATAGGTATCTCATAAGGCGCTCTGGCAGCCGTCTAACAACAACTGTACCAGACAAACTTTACTTCAAATGAGCTACCGTTGACAGATGTTACTGGCGGGTGCAGAGGTCCAGCAAGCGTTATTGGCATTGGGGAAGAATCGGTTGGAAAAATGTTAAAATTTGGAACTAATAGGGACTCAATTTCTTCCTTTTAATTGTACAAAGAGAGGGGAAAACGTTGTAATTTTTTATCGTAGTTTGTTCATTTACGTACCAAACTCAGGAGCTCTTATTGAGATCCTCAGCGTAAGCACGTCTAATTACCTAGTCACTTGTTTGAATCGAGTTCAGTCTGATCTCAGTTGGTCTTCTAATGTTTTTACTAGAGTGGCTGACCACCTTATAAAACTAGTAGAAAAATAGTAGCTAGTGCTTAATGTCATGCAATAATTGGGTTTTGTCATAAGATTTAGTTGGATTTACTGAAGTTACCTCAAAAGATCTAGAATGCCAAGTAAAGGAGCAGTGCTTACATATAAGACAGAGATATTAATAACCATTTTAGTATACTAGAGAAGCCATAGTGTTCATAGATAATTATTAAGAACCAAGTATCTGAACGTTTGTGATAATTGAAAATTCATACAACGGACCACACACTAACTACATTTGTGATATTAAAAATTCATATAGAACGAACCACACACTAACTACATTTGTTATATTGAAAATTCATATAGAACGAACCACACTAACTTTGTAGTTGAGGCAAATAATATTTACAACTAGTTGTCTTGCCCTCCGGACTCACCTGTGACACAGCAATCAGTAGAGGGGTCTCAGAAACAACAACCCATTACAAATATCAAGAATATAAGTTTTTTTTAACATATAAACTCACATACATGTAGAAGTGATCTCATGTCCATTTGACGCTAAGACCCAATTTTTGAGTTGGGAAAACTAGACACGTGTGCTGTGTATATCTCTTGTTAGAATATAAATCTGAAATAAAATGCTGACATAAAACTACTACTAATAATAATAAGAAGAAGAAAGACGAGAGTATTGAATCCCTAACATCTGGACGTGCGACAAATATGCCTTGAATGTATAACAAAAGTTGATTGCAACTTTACAAAAGAAAATTTACACGACTCTTCTCCTTACTCCAACTCCCTCCCAATTATTGCCTATTTATTAAGCATACCAGAAGTACAATGGAGTTTAAAGAAAGAGATGTAATAAGTTGTTGACATTAGTTTTTGTAATTAATTAAATGTAATATGTAACTGGTTTTTCTTCTCTTCCCGCCTTTTAGCCTTGTGTTCGTATAATCTTTATTCGAGCAATCACACAGGAACCCAAAGTCCTAACGTTTTTACCCTTGCTACATAACCGATTTATTTCAACTTTTCTCGATAAAAACATATGTTCTTGCGGGTGGGCCCATTATCCACCGAGTTTAGAAGATTGTGATTGATCCAAAGGGCGGGTCACAGACGGATTTCTAAGTTAATAAAAAAAAAACATATGTTCTTGCGGGTGGGCCCATTATCCACCGAGTTTAGAAGATTGTGATTGATCCAAAGGCGGGTCACAGACGGATTTCTAAGTTATAAAAAAAAAAAAAAAAACATATGTTCTTGCGGGTGGGCCCATTATCCACCGAGTTTAGAAGATTGTGATTGATCCAAAGGGCGGGTCACAGACGGATTTCTAAGTTATAAAAAAAAAAAAAAAAAACATATGTTCTTGCTGTGAGATATATAGTGGTTTGGGGGTAACCAGAGACTATTGATAGTACCTGGTCATGTATCACTCAACAACAACCAGGCATTTAATCTCAAGCACTCAAAATTTTCAATCATGCTTGTATTTGCAATGCCATCTCCTGCAGCATGACCTGACATCGCAGAGGAATCCTATGGTTGCTAGAAGCAACACTGCAAAAATTGGAACCACCACAATGAGGACAAGGAAATTCAACATGGAAAGGTATATTAATATTAAGTTATTAACCAAGGCCTCACAAATTGAACCAATACCTTCAACCTAGTACGGCCTAAAATGTTAACAAAGCCTTCAGCAGGGAAAAGAGCCTGGATTTGTTAATGTACTTTGGCCATTCGTACGTCACACTCTATTTACCAGAAACATGGCCTGTTTGGCCATAGATTTTCCAAATAATATTTGGGGAAAAATTTGGCAAATAATGTTTGTCCATACAATTTGTCATTATTTGACAAATATCTCAAATTCCCAAATACTAGTTTTTTCTAGTATTTGGGCCAAATCTCATTATTTGGGATCTTTTGAAAATTGAAATTTTACACCAAACTTTTATCTTTTACAAAAACACCCTCTATACTAGTTGTTTGCGTTGTATTACATAATTTTTTACGTGAACACCAAAGTAGTGATGAAATATTCAGTGA